GTCCTCGGGTCAATGTGAAGACAAGTGGAAGACACATTTCTCTGTCAGCACGCAGAGAGCCCGCACGGGTTCAGGCTTTTGTCGTGAAGTCCCAAGTCATTGAGTCAATAGCCAAGGAACATGACACAACCTCTCACAGTCACTCGGCATCAAGTGGAACAGGGAATGGCATGCTTTCCATTTCACTGCACCGTGGCCCTGGCAAGACCCCGTCTGCACTCGAGAAACAGGAGAGGTCTCAGGCCCAGCTCTCGCATAAAAGCAACGCTGCAACCTGGCCCTGAACACGTACATCGCTTCCTCAAAGCAGCGGTACAAGGTGATCCACCGGTCAATCCATAACCCCGGCTATTATCTCCACTGGCTGTTGTAGCGCAGCAGGGAGGCCTGGGGATAACCAGAGGGCTAGAATGACAGGAAATTAGATCATGGCAAAGCACAAGCACATTTCGATCAGGATTTATCTTCCTCTGTCAGTGCGTTTAGAGGGGAAAAAGAAAATGTGACCTTTCAACTTCTCTGACAAAGCACTGACCAAGTGAATGCAGCCCTTTACCACAAGCATGGCTCTGCATGTCATATGGCAAACTACATCATAGCATCTGTGCTTGAAAGAAATGTCTAAACAAATAAAGATTAAGTATGTTATATTCTCCATATCACCATCTAAGGCAACATTTTTACGGCCAACACATTTTTAATAGTGACCCCACGTTACAGGCTGTATATGTACAGTAAATGAGCTGTCAGCACTTCAGCCAGTTTGGTTTTAGATTGTTTCGTTCATAATCAATTTTAGAGTCCTGAGAAGGTAATATGATATTTTGAAATATATTTTCTTCTTCTTTTCTGTCTTGTTAATCAGCTCACAACCGCTCAGGTTTATCATTGGGCCCCTTGTGGGATCCCAACCCCTCTGGCTAACATGCAAGCATGGCTGCACACCTTCAGTTTTTTTCTTCAACCATTCTTAGATTTAACCATTATCTGGTGAAAAGTATTTGTTTGTTGATAATAGTCAGGCAGAAAAGGCCATATTAAAAACAAAAATAGTATATTTAATGTATTTACAATAAACATACAATCATGTAATCTTTTCCAAGAAATATACAGAACATAAAGCTTTTAAATATAAATTCATATAATTTAAAGAAAAAAGAAAACAAATTAAAGAAGCAATAGAGCATATCTAAAAATCTTTAGTGATGCTTTGAAAATATAGGTGATATTTTCCTATTTCAATGCCCTTTACTTTTCAAAGGTCCTCCTGCAAAGAGCCATGAAATTCACACATTGAATACCACCGACAACATAATCAAATACATCACTCTAAAACCGTCACTAACATGGTTAGCACGTGGTTTCACTTGAATCAAAGGCAACATGCTGCCTAAAGGCTCAAACCGAAGGATTATCTATCTACATACGAAGAGTTTGCTTCCAAAATAACATACATCATTTACAAAATGTGACTATCCATAAGAAATAATTGACAGCAACAAAAACAAATTATGGACCTATTTACAGGACAGCTGTCCATTGATGTTAAAATGTCTCTTTAATGATAAATCTCGGGACTTTTTTTGTCTGAAAATGTTGTATTTTGGCAGTAAACTCTTCATATGTCAATACTTCTGTCACTAAAGATTCCACTATAAAAGTCATCCTGCTGTTACCACAAGGCAAGGTCATCAAAAGAGAATAATGAGAAAAATAGGATGTAAAAAAACATTTATGCTCCAAAGTTATTTTTTCATCACAAGGCAAAACAGTCCTGGCGCCGCAGGTGAATACAAGGTCAAGCAAGCGCTGTCACACTTGCCAGCGCATTAGACAGACCTAGAATATGTTGGCTTCTTCTTCGCGAGTGTTGAATGTTACAGTGCACAGGTTGATATGGCACAACATAGGCTCCCATCAGAAAGTCTCAGAGTAGAGCTTAATATCCAGGCACAGGTGCAGGACTGCTATCAGTGAAGTTTGGCTGATTTTCTACAGTCAACCTTATCTACTGTACAATGTCAGGCTAATAGCTTAACATTGGTGCCACTTATTTCAAGCAAAGTATTGTTTTTATTTGGACCAAAGCAACAAACAGTTATCAGCTTTGCCACTGATGGAAAGAGAGATTAATCTAAATTAGACAATACCTTCACTAGTAGAAAAGTCCTACATATTAACAGTTATTACATCCTAAATAATACTGTTTTCTAGACCCATATACAATATTTTATAGGCAATATGTTTTTGGGACACTTTTGTATGATATGGTGAAAGTAAGTGGAGGGATATCACAGAAAGGCTACATACAGCTGGAGGATCTGCTCGGAGCTCCAGCGTGGTGAGACAAAGTACTCTGCAGGACATTACAGAACACTTCTATGGTGTCACTTTGGCACTTGTATGGCACTATTATATACAAAGGAGTCAGCACTATGACACACTGGACATTACAGTTATCAAAGACAGCGCCACCTTTTGGGGGTTGCTGGAGGAGGAGATGGTGGCCAGCTGGTAATGTTAGGTAACACCTCCCTCCCTGTTTCTTTTTGAATTGTTTGTACATCTCAGCATAATGTCCGGCTGTCCTGAATGTCTCACTAGGAGCCAGTCCTCCCATCAGGGACTGTCAAATTTTGAGCTTGGAAACAGTTTCAAACACTACCTAATCGGTGCCCAAACATTCTTCCAGTTTAAGAATTTAAGTCTCACTGCGATTCAAAAAATCTGTATTTATACCCTTGTAGTTCACATCAAACCAAGCAGACATTAGTTTAGTCTGGTCTGGTTTGGCAAGGCTCTGTATTGAATGTAGGTCCATTGTTGATCTTCAACATTTTCCAGCTGCTTTCCCCATTTGATATAATATTCTCTTTATTTTTTATGATGCTTAAGCACCATCAATGTATAGTTTAAATCTTATACTACTAACTAAACTAAACAAACTAAATACATGTGAGTAGTGTGGACCCAAAATAATTTCCACCATTTACAAAAAAAAAAACAAAAATAAGAGTGGCAGCATAAAATTAAACTGAATCATAGAACTTTGTAGGTGGATTTTTAGGAAATACGCTGCTTTCTGGCCAATAGTTAGATACCACTCTCATGTCTGTGTATTAAGCACAAAGATGGAAAATGGGGAAACAGCTACCCTGGCTGCCGTAACAAAATCCATCTATGAACACCTCTCAAGCTGCCCTATTAACAGCATATATCTTTTTTGTTTAACCCGAACAACAACCAGTACAGTGACTTCCTGGAGATTTTGTCACTGTGTAGTTGCCAGTAGGGTTGGGGGTTGGGTACCGAACCTGGTACTTTTAAAGGTACCGACTGAATTACGTAAGTACTACCAAGTACTTTTTCACAGTAAATCAATCAGTGCCAAATTTTGGTACCTGTCGAAAGAGTAATTTCTAGTATAGAGAGAAAAAGAGAGAGAGCGAGACTACATCACCACTGCAGCTTGTTCAAGTTACAGTTAGTCAGCGCAATGGCGAGCCGAAAGCGGACGCAAGCATGGTTACACTCACTGCAATGCTTGTAATGCAAAATTCAAACGTGGCTATCTAAAATGAGGAAACAACTGTTCAAAAACAAAACGTATCTAAAAGCTGAGGAATGCTCCGTGTTTGATGAAAGCCAAACCCCCTCCAGTAACCGCAGCTATCATTAGCACACCTGCAGCCAGTGCCGTAGAACCTCGATAGACAAAAAAACTTTATGTGAGGCATTGACATCTTCAGGTTATTTATTAACTAGTTGGATAAATTGTTGTTGGAGATAATTGGGATTTTTCACTGCCGTAGATGATAGCACTTACACTGGCATTAGCCAACACTTTCTTGCCAACATGCTATTTAATAAGCTAAAACAGTACGTGAAACCAATAGTATGCGAATCGGTAGTTTTGCAAGTATGCAAGTAGTGAGAGAAGTTTGGAATTCTTTTTTACAACTAAAATTGCATTTTGTTATTACAGAGAGAGCACAGAATGAAAAAAGGTACCATTGGGTACCAAATTCCAAGTAGCAGTATCAGTTCAAATGTTAATGGTACCCAACCCTAGTTGTCAGGCAACCCCTTGGGCAACAGCGTCATTTTCAGTTTTTGTATGTATTAATCAAACGTGATATAATATATTAATAAACAAGCTTCAGAAGTGTTGGCAGGTGGAAATTGTTTGACTTTTGGACAGAGCCAGGCTTGTCTCTCGCCATTTCAAGTTTTTATGCTAAGCTACAGACATGAGATTGGTATCAATCATCTAACATTTGGCAAGAAGGTAAACCAAGTTTATTTACCAAAATGTTGAACTACTCCTTTAACCCCCACCTCCAAACATCAAAGGGATTACACATTTTGGAAATGAAATCTATTGTGATGGTGAGTGGCTGGACAAAGGTCCATATTTTTGATGCAAAACATAGTAAATACTTACAAAGTAAGCCAGGAAAAACAATATATTCTCTATATAAACTGGATATGTCAGAAATCAGAATCCCATAGAATTCCTAACAAAAAATTATTGAAATAAAACAAACAATAAACATCTGTGTTTAGACAATCACTGCAGTGTGAGTGATTATTCAGCTGAGGTTTGCTCATCACAATGCAGTATGCATTATAAAGCTTTTCCATGGTCTAAAATAGAATTTAGAGGCCATTCGAGTTAAATGTGTATTTAACTATTACCATGGCCACCAAACCACAGAATCTGTGCAGCTTAGTAACATACTGAATATTTCTTTTATATTATTGCATGCATTACCAGCATGCTTTTAATTGAACTAATTCTGGCTGGACACTGTGCGTCATGCTATGCTGTATGCTCGGTCACTGCTATGGCTGTGTCTTCTGACCGTAGCAGCCTCACATCATCCATGTCTCACTGGCTTGACTTGGCGTTCTGCTTAAATGCTCTTCAATCTCAGTCCCTCCGCTACGCCCTGAGCAAATTTGCTGCTGGTACGTGATTCTATTCAGTGGAAGGCCCGCCCCCATCTGCCTCCACCTGCTTTGGCCCTACTACACACACACCCTAGAGAGTCTTATTTGCAGTGTTCCCTGCTTGTTATTTATCATGTTGCTATGTATTCCATGCATTACTGCTGCAGGGCATCCCCAAGAGTAGAATTACACCACCAAGTCAAACTGTATTTCTGTCTCGATTTGCCATTTACACAAGTGTTCCTGGCAGAATTATAATGGTGGTACGGTCAAATCAGTGGTTAAGAAGATAGTCATGTAACTGAAATGTCACAAGTTCAGTTACTGAGTCAGCTCATGTGTCATCATCATCATTAATTAGCTATACGCCTACGTAGAAGTTTGCTTTTGGAATTTGCGCCTAATTTCTATAACTGTCAAAGAGAAAAAGTTAATATCAACAAAATGGTGTGTAGTTTTTAAAAAAGAAACATTTCTGTAGCTCTGAAACAGAAAATTACTCTCACAATCTTATCGAGCATTCATAGCAAAACTCCACACTATGACACAGTAAAGGGATAATTACGTACTGGCTCTACCTTCAACAAATCTCCTAAAGTGCCCTCCAGAACAAGAATGGACCAATTACACTGAAAGCTGGTGAGAAAGACTCTATTCCTTGGTTTTTAAAATCTGAACAATATGTGCAACAACTCAAACTGAAGAGTTTGGTTCCAAAATGGGATATTATCCACCCTCTGGAGAACAGAGCCCTCTACTCCTGAAAAAATGACAAAATGAAAAATAAAATCAGTTTCTGTTACAAATATTGTTGTAATCTTCATTTCTGGTTTTAGAAGATATTGCACAATAAGCTAAGCAATATGATTTATTTACAAAACTAAATCTTTCATTAATTTTCCACTGCTTACTGTATCTGGGTTTGGCTCACTGGAGTTGAGATTAAAGAAACGTGCAGTTATTGTATAATTGGTTTGAAATTAATTGGCTTCATTTTAGGCTAGAGGGGTCAGTATTTAGTCTGTACTACTTTTATACTTTGACTCTGCCCTCTCCTCTGAACTGAAGCTTTAACGATGTATCCAGGAAATCGGGCCGCATTGAGTCACAACCAGGTGTTGATTTCCTTTATTATTATTCTAAATTACTTGGATTATGCCTATCCCCTGGCCAGTATCCTATTTGTCAGGCCTCTGTAGACAATGCATCTCTATCTTTCCCTATTTTTTATGTTAAATTTAAATCTTCTAAACAAGTCTGTTAATAAGTCTGTGGAAAGGTTGCCTAGTATGTTCTGCATGTCTGGAAAAGTGCTCTAACCATGAGCTAAAATATGCATCATCTAATGATGAACGACCTGTCCTTTCTATCTTACATCTGGACCTGAGAAGTACTTCCTTCTAAAGGAAAATAAACTGTCTAATAAAGCTAATGAATAACCAAAATTTCAGACCTCTGCTTCTCAAAGAGCTCTGGCCTTGTAATAAATCTAAACCTAATATGACGCCAATTTGAACTGAACAGTGGATCATTCCAGAGGTGTCCTGGTGTATTAGTGGTATGACGCATTAAATGCAATGTCCCTGGTTCACATTTGGCTGGGAACATTTGTTGCGTGCCTTTTCTCCTTTCTTTCCTAATGTTTGCTGTCAATCTCTATTCTGCTGTCAAATTAAGGGAAAAAAAACTAAAATAACCGCAAGAAATGTTTTCAAGTCAGCTTATGATTTTGTCTGACAAAAAATGGACCAAATCATATGTATTTCAGTTTAAAAAAACATTAAGTGCAATGTGGATATAGAGCATTTTGGGAAACTCTTCATTTTTTTTCACTATGTCTGATGTTTTGGGTGAGAAGAAGCTAAGACCCTTACTGACAACATTCTTCTAAACTGATACGACACCAAAGACACATCGCACATCAGTTGCACATTAACAGCCTCAGTATGCAATCCCATTGCAGACCGCCACTATAAAACTGACTCCATGTTGTCACACATCTCATGGTCCTCCAGGTTGTATATGAACTTTGTCCTGTTGGCTGGGTTCTGGGTGATCTCTTTGCCTAAATTGTCCAGAGTCACATTGGAGGCGAAGAGTTCGGTGGGTGTGAGGTAACCCTCGCTGTTCTTGATGTATTTCCTGTAGTTCTTTCTCAAGCACTGCCACGTGGTGGTGTACAGGATGAAGGCTGACGACTTGAGGACAATGGCGATGCTGACATACAGATGCCTGTAGGCCACATTGTCGTACAGCATACATGCTCCCTTCTCGCCGCAGACGGTGCTCCAGAACAGACAGGTGGAGTCGATGCCCATGCCGAAGATCAGAGGGGGAGGGATGAAGCCTGGTGCAGGAGGGGATTGTGGACAGACAGCAGGTCAATAGGTCAAAAAGCATACCAGTTTGAGTTCAGGTTTCCTTTATATCCACACAGACAGACCAATGAAATTCATTTCAACCAGGGTGAAAAATTGCTCTGACATTTAAATCTCAGAACAAAACTACAGGGCAACAGTGAACATGTCATGAACACATCAGATAGGACAAACACTGCAGTGTGAGACTTATTACAGAATGTGTAACCATAGAAAAATCAAGAACAAATAATTGTTTTTGTGGATATAATTGCAGAAAAGTAAAGTATACAAAGCGAATACATTAATTTAATGTTAAAAACTGCTTACCTATCAGTCTCAGGAGCAGGAACAGAACTCCAAGGGCATAAGATTTAAGCTCTGGGCTTACAGTTCTGAAAAAACAAAGACAGAATTGGCATAAATGGTGTGTACTGGTAACCGGAGCATAGAAAGTTTCATTCCCAGTGAGGTCAAGCAAGCTGTAGACCTAAGAGCTTAGCCTGATTATCTTAATAATTATCTGATCATTTATAAAAAATTATGGAAAACTTAGGTCTGATTTCTGTATCTTTTCTTTCAATTATGATAACATTCTTCACGCCAAAGTAGTTGCTGTACTTTGGGGACATGGAGAAAATGCAACAACAAAGTTTGAAATCAGTTGAATTGTAAACTAGCTAACAGTTTAGCCAGAATATCTACCACTTTATTTATTGGTAAAATATAGTGAGCACACACATGCAAAATAATCTTTCCTTATTACACAGGAAAACTATGCACACAACTGCGGGAAATACAGCAGGTGGGGTCATTGGTCTATGAAAGCAGTTCAGTAACTTTACCATTTGCAAGAAACCCGGGTGTTTGTTTGATGGAATAGGTCTACATTTTGGGAATATTATTAGCTTTCTTGTCAAAACTTAGATGAAAAGGTTGATACCACTCTCAGATCTGTACAATACATATGAAGCTACAGTCAGCAGCCAGTTAGCTTAGCTTAGCATAAAGTCTGGAACCAGGTGGGGGGAAAGTAGTGTAACTACTTCTGCTTCATGTCTGTCTCCTGGCAACCCGACGACAAGACTCCTGCACATACCTCCACTGTAAATGTTTTTACACTTTTCTTTAGGTTATCGTTCAGATTAAACAAAAGATAACGTGTTAATTAGTGATCCTTAGAGTTGCTCGTAGGTGGACTTTGTTAGCTTTGGACAGAGTAGGCTGTTTCCCCTTTTCCAGACTTACACTCAGAAAAGCTAACCAGCAGCTGTCTGCAGCTTTTTAGTTACCACAAACACATTAAAATCCTGGTTATTATATCCGTAATAATTTAATGTACGGTGTAATTCTACTGAAATATGATAACAAGTATAAAAGTATGTCCTAAGTCGTACTAAACACAAAGTATTCTTTAATATATAGACAGATATAATTGACTATATTTATCTAGAGTGATATTCAAAGCCATTTGCTCACCTGTCTGTTATGTACCCCACAATGTTCTTTGACTCTGTGTATAACATAATGTTACCATGTGTGTCAGTATGACTGAAGTGAATCTGACTCCATCATTTTGCCATGAATGTCAACGGCTCCCTCTTGTGGGCAGTCTATGCATAGCATCAGGTCTCCTTACCTGATAAGGATGATGACAGAGGGTGTCTGGGCCATAGCTCCGATCATGCTGCACACACAGATAACACATAGGAAGGTGAGGAAGGCCTGCTGACAGCCTGGACTGGGACACTTCCCTGGTAAAGCCACCGCATCTTCACTGGTGCTGGATATACACGTACAGCTGGTCAGGTTCTGATGAAAAAAGAGGAAATTAGATCAAAATGTTGTTATCTTACTGTGAATATGGAGACCTAAAGTAGGAATTCTGCACCGTATTTATGTATGTATCTATGTGTGTAGTCTCCAGTCTACAAGCTAGTCATAGCGGTCTTGTTTTAGTGTGTGTTAACTTTTGCACTCACTGGTTTGATGCAGCCAGCGAAGCAGGCTGAGAGGTAGGTGACTCCGTTGGAGCCACAGACAGGGCTCACTGATGCTGTGTAGCAGTTACAGTTATTGATGCACGGTGACTCAGGTCGCTGCCAGGACCGCAGCGTCCTATGGAGGAGGTCAAAGGTCATGTTAGGGAGTATATTGTAATATATTTTGTGTACAATGTTCACATCAAATGGGAATAACCACAGGACAACTTCATTCAAAACAAACTTTTCCTGTAGACATTCACTCACTTTTGTATCATTTCAAGCCTGCATAGACATTAGTTCATTTTTAAAGAGTAAGTCAGCACTTGACATACATAAAGCACTCTATGGGCTGAACATCCGACATCCGTCAAATGCATAACACCAGAATTACAGCATGTTTTAAAGTTTTAACCCATAGAGTACAGTGCAGAGGCAGTTTACTCCACAGTAAACACTGACAGTGCTTATGTCTGCTATCTGACATTTGGAACATCATATTACAGATATAAAGCATTGCTGATATTTTACTGTTAATGCACAAGAGAAGTTCAATAAATTAGCAACAAAACCTCCCAGCTTCATCATCTTGTCTCTTAGTGACAAAAAGGTTATTTTTGGCTTATTTAAAGTCTCTTACACAAGGCCTGAATCCTGTATTAATACACCAGTATTATGTAAACAGGAATGGTTAAAGTGGTAATAGCTATTAAAGCTATATCTAAACAAAAAAGTTGCAGTACATTGTATTGTTTGTCAATTTTATTTTTTTGTATTTTGTCATATTCTTATTAGCATGCTAGTGCAAGTCATGCATAACTAGAATATGTTTCTTGAAAAAATGCATACAAGCAATACAATAACTTGTTCATTCATTCACAAAAGGAGGCGTCCCTGCTTACTCGTTGCCGTAGGCGACAGTCACCCCGGCGACAGGTCCGGTGTCACAGCCCAGGAAAAGAAAAGAGACATAGCAGGCAGTGGACACCAGGTTGACCAGCATGGCCATTCGGACAGCGCCCAAAGCTGACAGGTTCAGTTTCTTCACCAGCAGACCCCCGAGGAAGATACCCAGACAGGCACAGGGGATGGCCGTCATACCTGGGGAGGGGAAGACAAAGATGTCCAATGTTTTTACTGGCATTTTCCTTAGTATATGTTTCTGCACTGCACAAATGTTGTCATTATATTAAACAATATATAAATTCTCCATGATATAAAATTAGTTTTATTATGTCCTAAACCTGTGTGCCCTGAAGGTTTAATGCTAAAATACACAAGATTATGATCCGCCTACCTAGCAGCTGATTGGCTGAGGAGGTGGTAAGGTTGAACTGCTGCTCCAGGTATTTTCCCAGGAAGGCAGCAAAGCCAGCAACCACAGCAATCTCCATGCAGGCTGCCAATGTGATGCAGCTGAACACCGGATTAGAGAGAAGGTGCCTTGTTACCCGGGGGATTACTGGGTCGATGGAGAAAAAGAAAATGGAGAAAATAGGATACAATAAGTAGTAGAACGGGTACCGTTAGAGAGACAGAAAAAACAGAGAAAAGGGTTAGGAAGGACAAAAAAATGATAATTTCTGAGGAATTTGATTGACAATCAAATCTCATATTCTATTTCCAAATTTCCCGCTTTTCTTCAGCCATTTTTTCTCAGGATATCCTCCCTTCTGTTCTCCTTCTCACCTCTCAGATGCTCACAAACTGAGAGTCCGCTGTTTATATCAAAGCCATGAATGGCCCCGTTGGGTTTAGAGCCCTGGTACTCCAGGGTCAGGGAAGAAGGCAGCATGGCCTGCTCACTCTCCCCTCCACCATCCATGTCCTGCTCGTCCAGCGACTGGGGGAAGCCAAACATGAAGAGGGCTGACACGAAGAGTAAGGCACCGCAGAGAAGGAAGCCGGCCCACCACGCCCCGATCCAGCGAGGGTCATCTGGGGTGATGTCCAGTGTACCTGGAAAGGAGGTAGGGGAATATACCACAACGGATGAGTGTTGAATGAAATTTTATAGATCAATATGAAAAAATTGGATTCCAGTAGAAGTAAATTCTGCCTGTTAATTTAATGTTTCTATTGTGGTACAATATTGTTGTTGTTCTTAATTTTCCCAGTATGGTCAATAGTTTATCTACAGCAACAAAAATGAACAAAATTCAAGAATATATCTCAAGAATTTCAAAGAAAGAAAGCAGCTGCCAACTCACTGGTGTCGATGAAGACAGCATCAACATAGACTTTGGTACAGACAGAACCTAAGATGAAGCCACAGGCCGGGCCAAACACTAGTGTTGAAAATAAAATACCTGCAAGACAAACAGAGAAAGCATAAAAGAGTAAGTTAGTTAAAATGAAAACAGCAACAGCAAAAACTCAGCAGCAATGTTTTAGTATAAAATCATAAAATTAACATTTATTTTTGCAGTATTTGGTTCACTTTAGCTTAGTTTAGTTGTACAGTAATAATTACAACAATAATTAAAAAAAATTAAATCTACCCACTGTCCATCAACCAGAAGTGCACTTCACCTCATATTTCAGTAGAGGGCAGCATTGTATCTAAAGTGTCCATTACTAAGGCCCTTTTATTAAATGTGTGGTAACATGGCGCTTCCTACCACAGAGAACACTTCTGCTGTTAAATCCACTGTATGACTAGAACCAAATGTGTTCTAGTCAAGGAAAGATTATGTGTTGAATCTATGCCAAGGGACTTTTTTTGGGGATTTATTAACTGTCACTGTAATATGCAGCTCATAGGTTGCACAGTGTAATTGATCTAAGACTAGATTATCAAGCAGGATCATAAATAATCAAGCAGGAAATGGGTTCTTAGTGTTAGAGCTGTGGGGAACCACTGATGCACTAGCTCCAGTTGACTTACTCTGGAAAGCAACGCTGCCCTGTTTCGGCCCAGAGGCTGAGAGGTTTCCAGTAAGCAACAGCAGAGTGTGCAGGACCCTGTGTGTGCATGTGTGTGTGGCAGTGAAACTCAGTTATCCATGCCGGTGGTACATGGAACAATAGGAGTGAGCTCCAGTAGCCTAACTGCTAATAACCAAGGCTATAGAGTAAAGGAGGCAGTTCCCCACTGATAGAATGACAGAGTCAGTAATTTTTTCTGTGAAGGATGTAATGATTAGTGCTGTGGTTGTAACCAGAGATAAATCTGAGAGTGGACCGGCGGCTTCATTTTTTATAGTGTTATTAATGCATTTCTAAAGATGAATCTCCAAAATATGAGAAACAAAAATTGTTTCAAGCTGCCTTTTTGATTTCTGGTCACTGTTTCAGCACAGAAACACATTTTATCCATAATTCTTTTAGAGGGCATTCAGGCATTTGTATTCCCTTATGAGAGATATGCAGTAGAGAGATGACAAGAAATGAGGAATGCCAGACTCAAACCAGGAACACTGTGATTCATGATCAGTACGTTAAATACCCAGGCCAGCATGAAGCCCCATCCATAATTCGTATGTCAGATTTTGGGTCTTCAGGGCCACAGACGACCAAATATTTATAACAGTAACTCTAATAAATAAAGTCAGAAGCCTCAGTCCTAACCATAAAACATAGAATGTTGTATATATAAATATGCATATGCTTAACGGTGGACATAACAGTTTTGTAAAGATTTGTGAATATTAGTAGTGCAAAACCAAAACGACATCGTCCAGTTTCCACGTTGATGTTTTCAATAAGACTAACTAAGTGCTAACATTGGCTGAGTCAAACTAAACATGAAGTACAGCTCATGAGAATTTTATTTTGTCAAAAAAGAAAAGGACCAATTCAAAATTTGACCTGATGATGGTGCTGGATGAATGTCTGTACAAAAGTCAACTTGCCAGCTGGTACAGTATGTAAAAATAGTCCAAAATCCAAAAAAAGGTCGTAATTAAAAACCTAGGCATGTGTAAGGTAAGAGTGTGATCTGCTATTGGTTGTTTAGCGCAGATATCATGAACAGTGCCTGAATTGGACCAACATTTTCAGCGCTGTTTTCTCAGCGTATGTTCACAAAAAGATGCAGTAAGGTTTTTGTTTTTGTTATTTTAAAGATCAGACTCTACTCTGCCTCTGATTGGCTCTGACCCTGACATTTTTTTCTAAGTCTAACCATCTCATTCCATCCCTAACTAACCTGCCAGCTGGTGGGGGGAATAAAATCAAGCATTACGCAGGTGTTTAGGGGTGCGTACCTAGACTCACCAAAATGTGCGAGTACGCAATGAGAAGTAAGGGTATTTACGTGGACAAAAATCAGAAGTGTTGATTCTCAGTAACAGTGAGTACTGGCCCATTTTAGGCAGTGATATTATATAATAAAAAAAGACATACTGCAGCTGCACAGTACAGGACAATAGACAGAATAACAGTACACTGACACAAACGGTACAGAGCAGAGTGAAAAGACAGATAAAAAAAAAAATGTATGAGAACCATAAATGATATACTTTATATGTCATTCCATTAAGCTACACTGTACTAAGATACACTAAACTGTGACAATAGACTCAGGTACACCCTCCCTCTCTCCGTCTGACTTTCTCTGTCAGCTAGATGCATTCTGTTCATTTCAGCAGAGTCACTTATGCCAGCGGGGCTGAAGTCAGGTGACAGAGGAGTTCTGGGGTTACAACAGGGCCAACTTGACCACCCAACCAATGAACAAACTCTCATGTCCAACTCTGTCTTCCACTAGGATCAAATCATAGACAAACACGGGACAACACAACTAATCCATAATGTATATGATGCAGGGAAACCAGCGGAAATTCTTGGACAGCCAGTCTTATCTACAATATACCAAAGCTCCATATTTTCTGAACGTCGCTGTGGGCACAATGTCCTGTATACACTGGAATAAGGTAAGAGCTTGGAGAGGCCTTCAAAGTGAAGCAGCTGATGACAATAGCAGCAATAAGCATGATGACGGAGAATTCCCAGTAAGCTTTGTTATGCCGTGAGAAAAGACAGAGAGCTCATAATCCTATAGCAACAGCTGCTAGACACCCATCAGGAGAAGCATTCAGGACTGCTGCCAGTCTGTTGTCTGCACTCAACAGTCGGTACATCTAAGGCCATTTCCGTGGAGACCCGGCTGGGGGCTCATGGCAGCAAAAGAATGTATGTAGTGAGGGACTAGAGCTTTAACTATACACAACTGCGTGTAGTAAAAACTACATACATATAAATATTTTCTTGACTCACATATTAAAGTATGCTTAAAGTGTCTTTGCTGGAAAAAAACTAAACAAAAAAACCTACATCTATAAAGTAATGTGAAATTCTAATAACTTTTTAAATTCTATAATAAGTAAACTGGTCTAATAAAATGTAAGTTTTCAGAAATAATAAATGGCAATGGATTTGGGTTTAATAATTTATATATATATGTATATTTGTATGTGACTATACAATGGTAGGTTTATGTACATATTAAGTGTGACTGAAACCACAGGATTTTTATAATTTTTTAAACCTGTAAAATTATTTTAAAAAATGTCAAGAGAAAGTGAACAATGACTTTAAGTCATATTATTTTTTTACATTTTAATGTATTGAACTGTTGAAATAAAAATTGCCTCAATGTAATTTGACAAATTCTGCAAACAGCAACCATTAGAATAATGTTGGAAATATGTCGTTCACACATTTCTAAATACATTAATTATAAAAATCAATGCCTGTGAGGTTAATTTTCAGAGGACTGGATTAACTTCTGAATGCTCATGAGAGGCAGAATGTAAATTTCTCTGGATTTATTGACTTTGGAATGATTGCAGTCTAGCTGTGGATGAAACCTGCAGATTCATTCAGTGTCTTCAGTTGAGCTACAGTGTAACAGTACATATCAATTGATTGATGGCTTTGGAAAATAGAATCAGCAGAGTAGGCACAGAGAAATGTAGAACTAACCTTTGAGAGTGATCATCCTGAGAAAGCTTATTTAGCAGTGAGGCAGTTAAAACACTCAGGAAATCACACACAGGTATAAAAATAACAACACAAATTATAAATATTACATTAACTTAGTCTCATCAAGTTGGTACAACGTATTCAAGGATTTGACTCCCCTATCTTTCTACTTATCTTTTTTATCTCTTTTAAAAACTAAAGAAAATATAGCGTCAGTCATTTCTAAAATTGCCCAAACAATAATAATCTTATTTTGGAACCAAATTCTTGATTTGTGAATACTGACAGGATGAAGTAAATGCCACAGATGTTTGCACTGTTTGAGAAGTTTTATGAACCTGTATATTTTTTGTCCAGAATGAATTTAAGCTCACATCACCGTTGCCAATATAACACAAGCAATATCTATGACAAAAGGTAAGCGCAAATGGTTTAAAAGGGCAGAGATGACAGTTGGCTGACATGGGGGAATTAAATCTGACACCGCCTCAAACACACACAGTAGGCTGTTTTAGCAGTACATGCTTTACCCCGGAGATGCTGTGCACACTAAATATTTCCACCTTAATGGATTTCCATTGTTTCTATGCAAAAAAACTGACTGCTGTTGTATCTTATACCTGCTGTGTCTGAGCGCTGGGACAATGGACATGCACACAACCAGCTAGAGATAAAGGAAAAGGTACATTAATACAAACTAAGAGAAGATGAGTTTATTTTCTCTGATCACTTATTTCTTATATTTCTTATTCCTTTCACACTGTAGCACCAAAGTAACTTTCTGACACATGAACCTTGATGACTGAAACTAGCTGTAAGAGAAATGTATAATTCACGTACAGACACTCTGGGAGAGCTTAGAGCTTTAGAGATATCCATGTAAAACTCTGGCAGCTTGTTTGACCCAGCCATGTGTAAATGGCAGGTGGAGACACTTCACTTAAGCTGAGAGCTTGTAGAGGATTCGACAGCTCCTCCTTAATGTGAGATTGTATCCATCTCCACCTGAACCCGACAGTAGTTTGTTCCTAAAACATTAGTTTTACTATTAATATAATACACACATAATAATAATATAAAAAGAAAAATAAATAATAATAATATGCTGTTTGTTCAGTAATGCAGACTCTCTGAACCCAGTTTTGTTTAAACCAGGGGTTCCCAAACATTTTCATGTCAAGGACACCCACAATAGATGCACATTAGATCACTGACCCCCAATTTGAAAATATTTTGTCTTAATCCTCTCTGAATAATGTTTTTACTTTTAGGTTCCAAGATTGTAAATAAATTATAATATAAATATGAAATAAAGATTGTAATAAATAAAGACCAGAAGCACATTTTTCTTACTCATTTACATATATCGGGGGAAAAAAAT